CCCCAAAACCCCAAAACCCCAAAACCCCAAAACCCCTAAAATCAATAGTTGTATTGAATATCAAAATTTGTCAGAGGGCTAACTCTCGAGCTTTAATATCATCTATAAGCCTCTAATATGAGAAATTAGCTAAGACTCTGGAATATCCTTGTTAGTTGTTCTCCCTCACATTGGATATCGTCCTAAACGTGTTTTGACTTGACGCAGATCTATTTCCTAGTCGAGACAAGGTATGTGCCATATGAACTCTACTCGATCTTCTTGGGTTCAATTTAAATCTGGGTGGATTTGTATCAGCATAATCAATGCTCTCGTTTTTAAAGTTAGCTTTGCCCATCTTCAGAGGCTTTTTTTTAGGGTAAAAATTACTAATAGTGGTATTAGCAGAAGACTGCTTTTTACAGATCTGCTGATAAGTAGTGGTTGATCCAATGCTCTTACTATTCCTGATTCTGAAGGCATTCCTCTCTTTCTCACTGCCCTGGATATCCATAGCATTTGGAATAGCGATGAACTTGGAGTCATCACAGTAAGTTCTCTGCATATCGGTGTTTACCTTTATGTCAGTCAAGTTTATATGGTTTTCTTTTGAACAGAGAGATTTCAACTGCTGGTTAAAAATTAGATCAATGTCGTCTAAAATTTGTTCTTTCCTTGTTTCTAAAGTTTTTTTGTCAGCCTGTTGGCCGTTAATAGTGAGCTTTTCACCATCATGGCCAGCACAGATCCTCTTAAATGGAGATATTACTACAGAATTTAGATGCTTTCAGTTCTTCCCAGTGTCTATCTCAGCTATGTCTATGTCCAGCATGTCGTTGATTTGAAACAAAGCTATGGTTATGAATGGACCTTACTTATCAGAGACTTCAGTAGGTCAACCACCGATGTAATATTTGACTTGGTAATTAACTCGTTTTCATTAATTTTATAAATTTGCTTAGCTATTTTGTCGAATTTCAGCTCACAGTCATTCCTGTCTCTTATTCTTCTTTTTGTTTCTTCTTTCAAGTGAGCAAGAAAATCCTCGGTAACCTGATCTCGAAGACCCTGTGCTATCTGCTGATAGTCTGCCAGCTTTTTGGACAATCCCTGGATGTCAACAGAAAGCTAGAATGTTAGAAAACTATGTACTTCGTTAGTCTTGAGTGAGACATATTCCTGGTATTGCTGCTTTATTTCCTCATCTCTTTTCTGGTTGTCGGCAAAAAATTCTTGCTTCAGATTCTTATTGTTTGTATCAGTCATAGTTTTAAGCTTAGTCGGGCTTTGAAGGCCAAAATCCTCAAGGGTAGGCTTCCTGACCAGAGTCAGCCTCTTCATAGTTGCCCTGCTGATTGTGGAATGCTCGATAATCGAGGCTGCTTCCTCTTCAGAGATCTCGGATTCAGACTCTTCAAGGCTATCTTGGTCACTATTTTTAAAGGAATGACTCTCAGACTCTTCCTTCTCTGTGTTAGTGTCCTCTTTTTGTTCAGCAGATTCTTTGATAACCTCAAATTCTGCTTCAAGAGTTTTGTGGTCAGAGCGTAATGTATTCTGAGATTGAGGTGGAGTTTCATCTCTCTTGAAATTTTCATCATAATTTGGAGATTCTGGTGACCCCACTGATTTACCTCCTAAAGGATTGCTTTAGAAACTTACTTTGGAAAACAGTTTTCTTAGGCTCATTTTGGAGCTTCTTCTTGGTCTTCATAGGTACTACTTTGATAAGCGGCACCTTTGGCTTGGCATTCACCTTCGTGCTATCCTTGTCTCACTGGATCAGTTTGAGGTTACCTGATCTATAACTACTCGAAGGTGTTTGATTAGAGGACGACTTGTTGGAAGCCTCTTCGCTAGTAGAAGAAATATCTTCAAAAATGAAGGGATTCTTGATCCTTTGTTGCACTGCTGTTGGTGAAGATTTCCTTGATCCAAAGGACTCGTTGTCGTCTATCTTCTCCTCTTCTTCTATTCTAGCTGATTTATCAGAGCTTTTCCGCCTGATTTTGAGTTTTCGATTTGGCATCAGATGACTATGTATGTTAGAGTGTAGACTTACTTCTGGTCAAATTCTGTGATGGTATTCTCCTTTAGAATTTTCTTTCTTTTCATCTTGAGAGAGTGGTCTTTAACTAGTGTTGAAATTGTCAAGTTCCCTTGTCTTGACATTGGCTTGGTTTCTGAAGGATTAGAGTAAGATTATTACCATCAAAAGTAACCTTTTTAACAGCATTAGTTGGCATCGAAGGCAAGGTTTTATTCCTTAAAATCCTGTTCGGGCTTTCATCCTCTTGACAAATCTGATCAACCTGAGAGGCTTCTTTGTGAAGGGTTTTAATCTCTGCTTCCTTGCTATGCTGATTTTTGATAAATTTAGTGTCTTTGCTGTTTGCTGATTGTGAAATTTTTGGTATACCTTCACCTTCATTTTTGGATTGAGTTGATTCTTTATGACCATGTTTGCTATCTGATTGCTTGTACGATTCGGATACACTTTTAAGAACCTTGTCTAGTTGCTTTTCTTCATCTTTGACTTGGATGTCTTGAACAGGGGCATAGTTATAATCATCTCCGAAATCACCAGGTTGCATATCACTTTTAGCTCCTTTTATGTCGACATTGATTCTGTCTGTAGACTGGAGGCACAATTGGTCATTATTCTCGCTCCCTCTATCTTGGCTATCCCAGTTACTTTGTGGAGATCTGTTGATAAATCTATCAAGTCCAATTCTTGGTATAAATTTAGTCTTGTTCTTCAACTTAGGTGAGGTTTTTGGAGACTTCTTGGCCCTATTTGATTTTAATTTCAATTGCTTCACCAGTTCTGGAATCGTTAACTCGGAGTACTTGAATCCGGTAACCTTGGCTTTGACAAGTTCCTTGCTGGCTGTAGGCCAGCCAGTATCTTTGTCAATAGCTTCGTTATACTCTGTGATTTTGTAATCCATATACTCCATGAGTTTCTCACGAACATTTTTCGAAGGAATTGTGTAATCTAGTAATTCTCCAAAAGCAGTAGTGTACTGTAGAGGCAACTGCTTCTCAATAAAATTATCAGTTCTCTTAAGCTCCTGCTCAACTTGGTTAATATGGTTTGACAAGATCTGGATGTCATGAGAGGAGTTATTCTTCATTGCTTCTGAGGACATCTGAAATAGCCTTTCTATAGCATCAGGGCCTGACTTGTTGAGGGATTTCTCAAAGACATTCTTGAAGTTAACCAGATCAATTAGGCTCTCTTGGTCTTCCTTCATTGTCTGTTTGAGTATACTAACATCGATACTCATTTGGTTGATTTCCTTCTTCTTAACTTCAATGAGAGCAGAGTCAAAGTTATATTTAAGTTTTAATTTTTCAAATTCTGACTGCATATCTGTGGAGGTATCAGTAACATAAGTCTTTGCATTGGCTAACTCCTTGGTATAAAATGCCTTGTGATCCATGATGGTCTCTTGGAGCTTGTCAAGCTCGGTCTTAACAATTTTTACCATGCCATCTACATCTTCGGTAGTCTCAGAGAAGGATTTAATATTTTGTTTGAAGTTCTCAATGTCAGTCCTAACTTTAGCATGTTCTTCCCGGTTGAGGATATTATGGCTCCGTACTTGTTGCTTGAAGGAGAAGAGCTCTTCCTTGAGATCATCGAACAATCTTTGTTTATTTCTCTATCTGGTAAATATGCTTCTTTAGCTTGGAATTATTTATCCCGAAGTTCGCTGATCTGGGTGTCCTGATATAGACTGTATTCTTCATTCTGTTTGACCATTGAGATGACAGGTGCAAGCCTTTGTGTGACATATTCATGCAATTTGTTCTCAAAGTTGAACCACTCAAGGTCGGCTTTGGAGTCAGGAGGAATTGACATTAAAATTTAAAGTAATAATTTTAGAATACTCAGGGGTTTTGGGGTTTTGGGGTTTTGGGGTTTTGGGGTTTTGGGG